GTAAGACAGTACCCAGATTTGAAGACTACAGTAAGATTTAACTTCTACTGTTAATAAGATTTTGGTAGGCTACTATTAGATGGATAGCCTAATGTCCTAATTCAGATGGGCTACCTGTTTTTTGTTTTTTTTATGGTATATCAAGAAGTGTATATTTTTTAAAATGTGATTGTTGGTACATTTTACCAGTTTTTTACCATACTTTCAAAACAAAAATTAAAATAGGAAAAATATGCAATATAAAAATAATTGAAGACAAAATGTGTTTTACTGAGAAAAAACAAGATTTGGTTTTTAAAAAGCCTTTTTCCAAAAGGTACATCTGGAAAAAGGGGGGTCGTCTTATAATCAGGGTCGTCTTATATTCGGGCCAATACGGTACTTGAAAAAAGTAATTGATTACGTAACTCGCATTACTTGTAATGAGTTACCCCCAACACTGCTCATTGTGCGCCTGACACTCCTTCATCCTAGTGACACAGGGGGAGCAGAACTAGCAATGCATCCTTGTTATACGGTCTTACATTACTACAACTACAGGTTCAAATCATAACAGCGAATTAGACCGTAGGCTTTAAAGAGGTCAATGTTTTCCCCTTCAAAAAATTATCCTGTTACATGGAATATGTAATGCATGGCAGGGCACGGCACGGAAGCTGGAAGGAGCTGTCCTGGGACCAGCCCTTGAGGTGCTTTGGCCGTTGGGAGGAAGAGGAGAGGCTGAGGTCAGAAGGCCAGTAATGAAAGCGTGGAAGAAAACAGGAGGGCAGAGAGAAAAAAAAAAAGAAGCGAGAGGCACAGCGTTGAAAAGGTTATCCCTATTGAATGACAGTGCTTGATTGAGCTTGGCAGACAAGACTGTGCGGCTTTATTTATAAACTTTCTACCCACAGGATTGCCTGTGAAATCAAAAGAGTTTAAATGAGTGGCCAGCGGCTTAGGGTTTACACAAACAGACTAATGTCTATTAGTGAGAGAGAGAGAAAAAAAGAGCCAGAGAGACAAAGGAGACCAAAAAAAAAAAAAAAACAAGCAAAAGAGAAAGGAGGAAGGAGGAAATCAATTTGGCTGATTGACAGAGGAAAAAAAGTTTGTGAAACAAGTAGCAAACAAGAACCCGAAAAACAGCAGCGGAACATACTGTACACTGGCCCCATAAAGAAAACATTATAAATATATTAGAAAAGAAAAATCTAATTAATATACTGTACATATATACAATATACAGTACTGTTCAAAAGTTTGGGATGAGTAAGACTTTTAAATTAATACTGTTAATCAGCAAGGTTGCATTAAATTGACAAAAAAACGAGGAGCACACAACACTGCATTGCCATCATATTTCACAATAATACTGTTTCACTGTATTTTGATCAAATAAATGCAGCCTTGGTGAGCATAAGAGACTTCTTTGAAAGACACAAAAAAAAAAAAAACTTACCCTTAACTTTTGAACAGCAAAGTAGCTATACAAATAAACATTTAAATTCATATTATACTGACAGATTCATTGAAATTGAAGAACAAAATAACTGATTTGCACAAATTGGTGAACAGGAAATGGAAAACCTGGAGTAGATCTAGAATGGAGTGATTACAGAACACTGAGGGGAAATTGCCGTGAACTGAAACCGAAGACTCTTGCAAATGATAAATTATTTTTGTACTATTTGAGATATTTAATACTTAAAGGATCCACTGAAACATTGTACTTTTTGCGACCACTGAACAGAGCTGTCCCAGACGGGCATACTGTACAACAGAGTACATGAGTCTGTGCGGTGACAGATAATGAGAGCGCTACAGCACACTCATTTTCCACACACTGACGCTAGAGATGGAAACCAGACTAAGGCCTGACTGAGAGCTGGCCTTCAAACAGCCCAATGTCCAACACACACCACATCAAGAGCCTGCCGGACCTCCAACACAAAGCCTGGAAATGAACCAGTGCCTTTAACTGCAATATGTTTAACATTCACAAAGAGCTATTTAAACTAAAAACACTGCCAACACACAGGAAAATCAGAAAGTACAGCTGCTCAGGGCGATTGTATGAGAAACTAGTGCACATTTGCCTCTTTTTTTTTTACCACAGGACTGTAGAGATTACTTAGATTTCACTGATATCAGATATTTCAGTTTGATTCTCCGCTTTGCATTGCGAATGAGACTTAACAACACTCAGGAATCGCTACTAACAATAACAAAGTCAATCTTAGATAAAACATACAAAGCACATGGTAATGACCGTGGCAACTACAGCAGAAAAAAAAAATACAGACTGAAAAACGCAGACTGCTACCACTTATAAACGGTGAGATGTGAAGCCAGAAGGAAGCTAGACAATGATACTATAGGACATGCAACAGCGTGCAGCCACATGTCAAAAAAGATTTTTGTCCGCAGACACACACAGAGAAGGAGAGAGAGAGGGAGGAGATTGAGAGCCAACAGCTTATGAAACTGTTAGGAGAGAATGACACAGAACAGGATATACAAACTCTTCATCATTAACATGAATCAGACAGAAGAGAGAGGAATTATATGGGACAGAGGACAAACACATAATCAAGCATAATCAAAAAGAGCTCACCAATATGGAGTCCACTTAAATAGGAGGCAAACTCAGTGTCCTCTTCAAATTATGAAAGGCAGAAGGAATCAGGACAGATTTATATTAGAGAGAAGTTAGCAACACTACTACATACTGAAAGATGAGCAAAACAAAAGATTGTCAATTTGGTTTATAGGTATAAAAATAAAACGGACAATGACCACAGCAACATTTAAAGGTTTGGGATCAGTATGATTTAAAAAAAAATTAAATGATCACATTTATTCAGCCAGGAGGATGCGTTAAATGGATCAAAAGTGACCTTAAAGACTTTTACACGGTTAAACAAAAAATTCTGTTCATCAATGAATCCTGGGAAAAACTGCCACTCTCAGAAAAAAGGTACAAAATCTTTCAAAATGTACTAATTTGTATCATAATAAGGTACTAATATGCAGCCTTTAGGTACTAATATGTACCTTTGAAAAAGTACCACCCCAGTGACAGCTTTCATATATCTTTGTTTTTCCTGAGAGTGTGGTTTCCAAAAATGATTAATCAGCACAACTGTTTTCAGCACTGATACTAATCAGAAATGTTAGAAATCAGCATTTCTGAATGATCATGTGACAGTGATGACTGGAATAATGGCTGCTAAAAATTCAGCTTTGCCATCAGGAACAAAAGACATTTTAAAATACATTAAAATAGAAAACAGTTATATTTGTAATCATAATGAAATAGTTTTACTGTATATTTTTGACCAAACAAATGCAGCTTCAATGAGCATAAGATACTTTTTTCAAAAACATTATCGACCCCAAACTTTTGAACTGTTGTGTATTTTACAGACAAACACAACTATCATATTTCTTAATTAACTGATCCTCTACAGCCGAACCAGGTGGACGGATCTATTGGCAGCGCTCGCATTCAACATTCATAACTTTCCATGTGGGCCATAAACTTCAAATTTCTTTTGTCTATTAGACACAACTCATAATGCATTCAATACATATCTTGCAGATGGAATAAAAGAAGTTATTCAAAACAGCTTTTGCATCTTACACAACAATAAGACTATGAAATACTGAGGGAAACATTCACGTTCAAACTCACATTCACACGGTCTATCATGAAGAAAAACTAAAATGGATGGGATTCATCTGAACACTCGTACTAATATCATTTAAAGGGTAAGGCGTAGTTGGAAAGGCAAAAAGGGATGTATTGTGTGCCTGTGAGTGCATGTCTTTGTGTATGAGAGAGATACAGTATAGTGAACTCTTGGCCCCTTTACACACTCTGCTACGCTCCATTAGATGGTTGTGGTCCAATGAATGCTAATCAACCGTGTCTTCATTGTTTGGGTACTCTGTTACCACATACAGGGGTCCCCAGCCAATGATCTAATGGCTATGACATCTAATAGGCGAATCAGAGTTAGTCTGAAAGGTGTACGTTCAATGTCCTCCACTGGGAAAGCAAAGAAAGGAATATGATAAACATAAAAAAGATTAAAAACAGATCAAGAGAGGGATGAGGAGAGCAAAAGAATGGAGGAAGAAGAAACTGACCTACCCAATTCAACCGTCTCATCATCTTATGAAGGAAAAAATAAACAAAAAGGAAAGATATAGTTATGTGACTGGAAGTAAACATATTTGAAACACACTGAAATTCACAAATTTAAAGGGACAGTTCAACAAAACCTATTTTACTGTCGTTTACTGTTTTAATGAAAGTCAGTGGGATTCAGTGTGGTTTTAACCCCAATGTTCTTCAAAAAGTATTCTTTTTCACAAAAGAAAGTGAGTCATACAGGTTTGGAACAACAGGAGGGTGACGAATTGATCACAGTTTTCAATTTTGGGTTAACTATCCCTTTAAATGTCGAAATATTGTAAAATTGTATGTTTATTTTCTATGAAAAGTCTTTAGTATGCTACTAAGTGGTAAACCATTGCTTACCTCATAGGAAACTGTAACTACCGAACAACTAACATTCATACAAGTAACAGTTCATAACAGCAGAGAAAGTGTTTTTGAGTGTGCATGTGCAGGCCTGAAGACATGAGAACATTTGGAGTCACTTTAAAAGCTTCCTCCAGTTCATGTGGTCTCAATTCTACTAAACAAGCTTAAATCAAAACACACACGAGCAAAGGGCAGCATCTACACAGCCTGCCATACACATCCACACAGTCCTGCCAAAAAAGCAATACCATGAAGAGAAAGACGGAGGGCAGTAAAATCTTTTGTGTGCTATCAGTCAAGTGAATCCTTAGGCATCTGCCTTCTTGTCGGTGTGACCCAAAGGACCAAAAAGACAAAAGAAATGAAAAAAAAGAAAAGAAAAGCAGATCTAAGGGCATGTTTAAAGTCTGAGACAAGAAGTGAGGCCACTAAGCTTAGGATAAAAAAAATATATACGAAGTAAATGGGTATGATTTACAGGTGAAAATGGATAACTGTCACGTCTGTCATAATTACTGACAGTGGATTTCAGAGAAACTAAATCAGAAAAGAACTTCACTTTTCAGTAAAACGTGTCCCCAGAATCCATTTTTGGACTTGCATGGTACTAGGGCTGCACGATAAATCGCATGCGATATTTAACGCGCATCTTGTCAGTAAAGCCATTCTGTAATCAGTGGTAAATCTCCATCACGTGCGGGCTTTCACATGAAGCAGCATTAACTACACAGAGCCGTTGTTCACCGACAAGCTGCGCAAAACATGCACAAAATATGATCGTGGTTTTGCGCAGCTTGTCAGTGAACAACGGCTCTGTGTAGTTAATGCTGCTCCATGTGAAAGCCCACAAGGTGATGGAGATTTACCGCTGATTAAAGAACCGGCTTTACTGACAATATGCGCGTTAAATATCGCATGCGATTTATCGTGCAGCCCTACATGGTACCATAAAAGATATAAATTGGACCGAGCAAATATGAAAACAAGATGATTGAAATTATGCCATTATGACACAATAATTCCAAAAAGATAACAGATGCCTTTTGCCTACAACAATTTATAAATTAATCTAGAATAGATGATTAATACAAATAAGTGGGTATGGTGAGTGTAGATTAAAGGGTTGCTTAAACTGTTTCCATATCTACAATGATTACAGAACAATTGGAATGAAAGTATATCTGGTCAAACAAACAAAGGGCACAAACCAGAGTGTGTGCAGAGGCAGGATAGACCTACCAACTCACTATGTTTACATACACAGATTTAAATCAATCCCACTGTAGATTCCACATGTACTGTTTATATGCGCCCTATGTAAATATATCAGTTGACATGAGCATATATCCCGAAGAAAATAGTTCTACGTGCAATGTGTCAACACTACAATAACAACAAGAAGCTTGTGATCAGTGTTCCTGAAGACGTTAAGGTTACTAACTGATATTAGGTTGCATGAGGATTATTAACTGAAATTAGGTTGCATGTAAAACCAGCTAGTCTAACCAATAGACACAATTTTCTCATAAAGATGCAAGAGGAAGAGAGAAATGTTAATCATAAGAGAAAAAAGAGATTACGATAAGATAAGATGTATTAAGAGGAATCCACTAGTAAACAATATAAACAGACATTAACTGACTAAAGGTCTATAGAAACCACATACTAATACTATAGGGTTGGTAACTAGAAGGTTGCAAATTTGACATTTCTGTGTAAAAGGGATTATTAAACAACAACAACAAAAAACGTATAGTGCATAGACAGGTTCTGTAAGTTGTAGGAGTTGCTGGAGGCAGATCTGAATACAAGCTTGCAATCTATTATAACAAAGACTGCTTCACTGGAAGATTGACTTATTACATTTTGTTTAAGAAAAAAATAAAATAAACTTATGCATGGATAAATTGTTCACAATACACTAAAAAAATGACCCTTTAACACTTGCACTCTCTATTCTTTTTCTATTCTACATGTTTTTTTTTTAATTATAGAAAAATGTCCCTCTAACACTATATACATGCATACATATACACACACACACATATATATACACACACATATATATATATATATATATATAACAAACCTTGCTACATGTATTGCGTTAGACTAACCAAGACTTGTTGGTTTTGATTGCTTCTATTGTCCTCATTTGCAAGTCGTTGTGGATAAAAGCGTCAGCTAGGTGTCTAAATATAATGTAAATGCAAAGATCATTTACATTTGGTGCTCCTTCCTTGTAAGGACTGAACCAGCAACCTTCTAGTTACTATTCCTTAACATTAAACTACATCAGACAAACCTATATGTGCACATGATTCAACTACAGTATAGTGTAAGGTACTGTGTTCCCAGCCCTTTTAACCCCTTATTTGAGCAATTCATGAGCATCTACTGGATAATGACTTTATTTTTTTTTTAATCCCTAAAAAATACTTTTGCCAACAAAATACTTTTGAACTATAAACAACTGTGAAAAACATACTGGTAAATCCATTATTTTTAAGATGAATTTGAAAACCATGATTTGTAAATAATTTAACAATTTTCTATGACAGTGGAAACACACAGTTTTACTTTCTGTACCTGTCCAGGGGTGTGTGGTTTGTAATGGATATGACATACAGCCTCAGCTAGTGACCATACTGTTCTGATAATAAGGCTTTATGTGAGTGCACATATCTGCAGCGCAAAGCACTAGCGTGTGTTCAGTCATCCAAAAAGAGCCCCTCATCTCTGCTCTTTGAAATATGGGCTAACGTCACCGCACTGCAGGCCAGTGGACAGATGGTCTTACTCTTAAAGCACACGCTCACACGGTTTCAAACAAACAAACCCCTTTCTTCCAAGCACACTTATACGCATCTATACCTGTGTGAGTACACATTTGGATTGGTATTGTATATGGTCTGTTTCTGGTCAAGTCATACATGGAGCTTTCAGTTTTTCTTACAAATTCCCATACGTGACGTGATTCTGAAAATTCTACACTTGAAAAGTTGAATAAAAGCAGCACTTTAATATTACTTATGCTTATTTGCTATAAAGAGTCTACAAAAACGACAGCAGTTTCATGACTCCTGGGGTGGTCCTGGAAAACTCATCAAGAACCGATACCTCAGTGACATAAACATCAACTTTTCCTTCTCATTGTTTTAAGCAGCTGATAGAGTAACGGACAAAAATGGAAGAGGTGGGAGGCCGAGCATGTGGCATGGGGGATAAGAATCCAGAATGGCTGTATTATTCAATCAAGTGTATTTGGAGCTGTACGGATGACGGCAACATGTCGAGAGTGTTGCTGTGCGTCTGTCTCGTGGTGAGTCTTAAGTGTGCCCATGTGTAGAGAGTAACCCAGCACAGCTCTGTAAAGACCCCTGCTGTCAGCCAGTGGGAGAGATTAGAGCTGTAGTGTACAAATACACACACACACACGCATGCAATAATCAGACATGAGAGATTAATGGAAACCAGGAGAGGAAGCTTATGTCCAGGAGTGCATTAACGCACATGTACATGAATACATATGTGTGCACATATCTGCCTGGCACCAATCAGGGGAGTCTGGGCTCCCTGACCGCATTCACTTCACCTTGTACTTCCCAACTTTTCCTCCCTCGCATCTAATCTTTTCCGGTTGCTGTTCTTACTATTCTTCTTTTTTTTCCTAGCCATTGCTTTACTCAAAAAGTCACGTCACAGCATCTGCAATACATGGGCCTCTTGCATATGACAGTTTAAAGATCATTACTGCAGTACTCCAGGAACAAAAGGATGAGAATATACAGGTCTCAACAATAAGGTGGCTTGCAGGCCTGATGTCAGTGAGAAAGTTTTTCAGGCTATTGCTGCATTACCAATTAAAATTTCACATTCAGTGACCTTATACATCAATGTCTTACAGCAGTGGTTCGCAACCTTTTTGATTCAAAGGCCACACGCTATCCAACATAATATTCAACCCCCCCCCCCTTTAGGCTATGGTATTTCCAGTATTTCTACTGTAATTATGACAAAGCTGTTTTTTTCAACTTTTTAATGAACAGAAACAGAGTAAACTGAGTAATTTAGGGTGGATTTTTTTTTTTACATAGTTATAGGTTTTTTTTTTTTCTATTAGATATTTCAAATATATATACTGATAAGAATATATACATACATATATACATACACTAATACGAATTTATTAATTTAAAATGCTTTAAGCTTTGAAGTCATCCTTCGGCCCCGGACCACTGGTTGAATGAGAACCACTGTTTCTGTGATTTTATCAACACTGTTTTTGCAAATTATAATGATTTGTCTCCAAAATAACATCTAGCCATGGGTAAGATTTTGTCAAAAATGCTAAAATGATTGGTGACCGTCTTGAAAGTACCAGTAAACATGTTGAAAACAACAAACCGATCAGTAATGTTTTGCATCATATGCTATCATTTTCTAGCAAAAGTGTTAATGAAGGTTACATAACAGTTTTACAAGCACTACACGTTTAAAAGAGAAATACACATATACACATATATATATATATATATATATATATATATATATAAATAAACTGTTAATAATAAAAATCAAGCATTATTTTCATAGTGGGGCCACAACTGATAGCCTGACTGGACTAGCACGAAAAAAAAAAATCTTATTGTTGAGCCCTGCTGTGTATGTGCATGTTTCAGTGGTTATTTTAGTTGCTGCGTGATTGTATGAGTGTGGTCCTTACAAAATCTTTTGCTGGGGGTTCTCTGAAGAGTCGTGACGGTCATGGGTCTCCAGGTTGCCAACCTCCTGAAAGAATTGAGAGAGAAAGATAAAAAGCTAGAGAGGCAAATAAATCTACACTCACAAAGTCAGTGTTTGGAACTGACAAATGTATTTAGCTGATACGAGTGAGAAGCAATTTCATCCATCAAATCTGAATCAACCGACGACAAAAATGTAAGGAAGTCAGTTTGACCATCTAATACTTTTCTCACACTCTTTTATAACCAAAATGTGCAAATGTAACTTAATTAGAAATGTAGTCCTCGGAACCAGACTGACAAGCCTATTCTCTGTTGCCGTGACTGTACCCATGCAGAGACATGCAATAAAACCATCACATTTCACGACCGTATGGGGATTACTAAACACTTCACTACAATGCAGAGCTACCTGCCTAAGTATCCATTAGTGAGTGAGTGTGTGAGCGAGAGAAAGAATGGTCAGCCAGAAACAGCACTTGCTACTGTACATGACAGGTTCAAAAATATGTTTTACAATTGAAAGTTACTTTTTTCAAGAGAAATAGAGCAAATAAACTATTTCCTAAGGCAGCACACATGTGCATGCACGTCAGAGTCCACTTTACAAAGAATGCCACTGATGTGCAATTTTCCGTGTGTGGACGTCCAAAGTGGATGTGAACCAGTGCTATCACTGTCTATCATTACTCATTCCAGCCCAGACAGCCACGGAAATCCAAAGTATTTTGGCCGAGCCCTCTTGCACAAAAAGGGAAAAAAATGATGAGGAAGACAAAAACAAAAAGTCAGAAAAGTCATTCCTTTCATAGTAGGGAGTGAAAGTCAGGTTGTAGTGGAGTGGAAGAAGTCTGGAATGATCGAGAGACAGATGCATGACAGAAGAATATGATATATGAGGGGGCTGGACAGAGGGCGGACAGGATGATGGAGTCATGGGGTGCTGTTGAATTTAAAACTGGTGATAGTGGGAGGAAAGGAGCAGGGAAGAGAGAAAAGCATTGGCTAACCTCTCCTGAAAGTGTTTGGATGGGATGAGTCCTGCGCGCTGGTTGCCATCACCCTCCAGTTTGGCTTGCCACCAGGTGGCATCGTCCTGGCTCATAACCTGCAGGATATCTCCCTTCCTGAATGCCAAGCCTGCCTCCTTGCAAGGGATCGCCTTATCCTCAGCTGGATTGTAGTCAAAAAGCGCCTTTACAAACATCTGAAGAGCAAGAGAGAAACAGCTTTAAAATGAACAACATTAAATGGATTAAAATGAAATTAGAGAAGGCTGAGATTCAAATCACATCTGCTCCGTCCCTCTCTCTAAACCATAACCAAATAAAGGTGTATTTTGGGTAGCAGGCAGGCTTACTTTCCACACATACACACTGCAATGCAACAATTGGAAATTCTGTGCGATTCTCATTAGCGTTTTTTCTCTCTAACAAAGAAGATCATGAGGTTTTTAAAGGATTGGAGTGATTGTGCTGACATATCAAATGAATAAATAAGACAAATATGAAGGGCTATTGAGAGCAAACGGAGACAGCAAAGTTCCCAAAGCGCAGAGCAGTGGCTTGTGTTGATTTAGAGAGCTGCATGTGCCACCCAGAACAATGATGTTACAGAGGAGAACGTTCCCCACAAACACACCAATACATCCTGAGGGAACGCTTCATCTCTGTCTAGCACTCCATTTTTTTTTTATCCCTCTTACACATGTGCAGCCAATTAGCAGCACTTCAACATACTCATTACACATGCGGAAAACAGTAAACTATGGTCACTGGATAACACACACACACACACACACACACACACATGCGGGTTATGACTAAATTCAAAACTGAAACATATTTAAACCATTACAGCACAGTAAAATAATATAACAGACTCGCATAGAAATGGTACAGTCCTCAATTACGACACAACACTCAAAAGAGATGACTGTTTTTGCTTTATTGGTGATTAAATAAATTCAGCCATATAAACATTTAAAAAAATAAAATCTTACAGACTCTAAACGTTTGAATGGTAGTGCATCTAAAGGCTGTGTCTTAAAACACTGACATGTCCACTTAGGGAACATTTTAAGGCATGTTCATGATGTTAATTTACACGTATGTTTTTTTGACTGAAATTTCAGTCAGCATTTCATTTATTTTTCACAGACAAAGCAATCTCAGAATGCATGGCAAAATTTTGCTAAAAAGTATAGACGACTACCACCAAAATTAATTAATTTTACCTAATATTGTGTATGCAATCTATGTTTTGTCTTTAATTGCATCATATCTTTAGCTTAGCAACATGGTCTTAATTCTATTGGAATCAATCAGGAGTTAATGGTTCTGACTAGGGGTGGAACGGTTCAACTTACTCACGGTTTTCGGTTCGTATCACTGTTTTAGAGTCACAGTTTTGGTATGGTTCGGTATGTGCTGTTTAGGCAAAAACTATACTGTCAAATAAAAATAAAGAAAATAAGAATAATCTATCTAACTACAAGCAACAGCACAAATAAATACAATAGAGTAAAGATACAAATAAAATAAACAGTGATTTTCAGGGTTTTTTTTTAGGTAGGACTAACATTAGTTTTTAGGTACAGAAATTGAAAGTAATGAAATGTAAAACAGCAATTAATATTAAGAAAGTGCTGTCACTTTAAGAGAATGCACTGATCCAGTGCACTGATACGGTACGTTCAGCCGGCTATGTCTGCTATAGGATATTTACCAAGACGGTCATTTTGACATAATTTTTGTGTGAATTTGTCCATTTAAACACAATACTACAGAGAGAGATTAATATTTGCGCGCGTTCTGAGGCGCGGGTTTGCACGCTTCGAATGAACGCACGCACAAATCTTCTCACTGCACGCGTGAGCTCGCATCCTCTGGCTGAGCCTGGTTCTTAAATGTTTAAACTGGCAAAGCTTAAATTAGTTCCTAGCGGTCCTAGCGCGTGCCGAACCGGGTGTGGAGAACCGTACGGTTCGATTTTTTCCCGCAAACTGTTCCATCCCTAGTTCTGACTCAAGTTTCTAGCAGGCTTCACATGAAGAGTGCTATTTGTGCGATGTGAATGAGTGACTATTAAGAGTAGCTATGCAGCATATACAGCATTTCAAATCAGTCATTATTGAGGTTTCATGTAGACAGCAGGCTGTGAGTCAGCTCTCTTGGTTTAGGAACAGATCGACAGAGAATGTTTGTAAGCTGGATGGGAGCTGAGAGGTTTAGTGCAAATCATTTGTGTTGAAGATGAATGGGAATAAAAGCTTATCCATCAAACCAGCAGCCCGTGGTACTTGTACAGGGAAAAACTCCCCCACTGTTTGAGTAGAACATCACATATAGGCCAACTCTTTCTCTGTTCATCATGTCTGATCGGCAATAGTGAGGATGAATTGTACCTTGGGCTCTTTGCTTTGTGCCTCCTCTTTGATGCCTGGGACCACTTTGAATGTGATGGCACCTTGCGACTGGGACTATAAACGGAGTCAAAAAAAGACAACATATCAACAATCTTTTAAGCATATAAAAAAAAGACAAAATTAATACACCAGTGCACATTATTCGTTTCATTTTATATCTTATCTTTTTCATTTTAAAACTTCCACTAGCTCTTTTTTTAATTTCTGTTGAAATAGCCAGGGGGGAATTTAACCACTTTCAATATTAACTTCATAGCCTATAATGTTTCATACAGTACATTAACAGTCCAAACATTTCCCTTTGGATAAAATCCCTTTTTCACAGGATTCTGTTCTATTACAGAAGTTAAACAACTGTTTCATGTTGTTTCATGTTGACTCTCCACATACACATACCAGGATGCGAATTATTTCCTCAGGCTTTTTGTCATCTACCGGGATACCGTTGACCTCTTTCAGCTCATCTCCGACATGTATCAGTCCTGAACGCAAGAAAGAGGAGTGGATAACAAGAGAAGTTAAGAGACCACAGCACTTTAGCAGTTAATTCAGTGTAATAAACCATCTCATGCTTCATGTAAACAAACTAAACATCTGGGTGCTGTTAGAGAGCATTTGTGTATAGAGAGAAAGAGGTACATCAGCACTTACCACTTCTGTCTGCTGCCCCGCCCCTCATGATGCGTGCCACTATGATTGCCCCACTGTGTTCATCCTTCTTTATGGTGGCACCCTGTAACACACATACGAAATGTCAATCACATTTACTCAAAGAAAACATACAATTAACATTGCACAGGTTTATATGCACACATATGTTAATTAAACTTTAAATTTTCTTAGACATTAATAACTTTTGTTCCTGAATGAATGAGCATTTTTTTAACAAATTGGTTAAATGAATTATTCAATGACTCTGAAGACATGTTTCATTACTGAATCAATCAGCGTTTTTAAATTAATCAGCTGATAGATTCAATGGCTCACTAATGAAGACAGTTACTTTTTTATTCTTGAATGAATCAGTGGTTTTTTTTTTTTAATCGATTGAACGAATGAATCAGTGACTCACTGATGAATACAGTCAATGCATTCACATATTCATAACATCCATCCTAAATAGTATGTGAGATTAGAATAAGTATGTCCCAAAGCGTAGCATTTTGAAAAGAGTATGCCAAAAGTCTCCAGGCGGTCTACTATTCTGGCAGATTTTTGAAGAGTGGATCTTTGCACACTCTAATGGCTATAATATTGTCCATAACCCATCATATTTTGGAGGAGGATTCAGTTCAGTACTGCAAACACAAATAAAAAGAACTACAAACATGGCTGATGTTCATGAGATTGATGGTTGAGGACAGAAACACGGTTTATTAACTCAAATGGGTTTCAGTTATTAATTAATAATATTTAATGTTATTTGTTTTATATTTCATTTGCAACAACATTGTAAACCATTCAACATACAAGCAGCACAACAGCAAAACATATGTTTGGCCACTATTACATACATGGTTTTGCAAAAACATAAGCAGAGTTCTCTGCATGAAAGAACCAATACTGGCAGATCAACGTGTTACTTGTTTTCTCTCCAATAAGGTAGGAGAAATTCTTAGTGTAAATTTAATTAAATACAATATAAATTGTGTATATAAGGATGTTAACAGTGACAGGATGAGAGAAAGGCCAGTTTACACTGACAGAATGAACGTAACTATGTAACAGAGTACAATTTTATGACATAATTTTGTGTCCAAAATTTAGCCAACTCTTCTACTACATGCTCAAATGTTTTGCCTTTTTCTTCACAAAAAGACTACATACTTTTTAGGGCGCAGTATAAGTAGGTGAAATGGGACACAGCAAGTCACTTGTTCCATTCCTGAATCAATGTTTATGAATGCATCTGTTAAATTAATGATTCACAGATGAAGAGCGTTAATCATTTCATTCCCGAATGAATCCCTTTTTGAAAAACATCACTTGAAAAATTATTTAAATTTCTCACTGATGAAGAAAGTCACTTATTTCGTTCAGTGACTCACTTCATAATAGGCAATTGCCACCACCTACTGGCATAAATATGTATAAAGACCCACTATAAAGACCCACTGTAAGTGCTCGGAGACTGGAGTATGGCTAGATACACACAACCACTTAATGGCTTTAAATGGACTGCTATGACTGCCAAAAACACAAGCAGGAATGCAAAAACACAAGCTATCCATGGCACTGGTCTGCCAACAATATGCCAGCTCTGTGTGCCATCCTGCCGCCATACATACTCATGCGCTACTGTAAGAGAGACACATGTGGTCAGACGCTCACAGCATGGGCTGTCACCACACACACAAACGCACGGCGAAATTAGACAGCGAGACGAAGACGGCAAGACTCCTAGCAGGGTGCATGGCTATTCACACACAAACATGTCAGACAGTTTGAGCTTCAGTCTGCCTTCTTTCACCCTCTGTTTTCTGCATCAGTGTCTCTAAGGCTGTTATTATTTCTGAAGCATCCGTGACAGTGGATGAAGGTGCGGAGCGGTTCCTCCAGTGTGCATGTTTGTTTAAAACCTATTGCCGTTTTTACCTCACCTCATTTCAGGTGTCTAAAAGCGGTGAAAAAACGACCTTGACAAACTTGTTCCATTGGCACATCAATAGGATTTGTAAAACTCTAAAAAAAATTGTTTTTGATTATTTGATGACTTGGTCACCTGTAATGATTTTGCAATGTCATCGTCACGACTAATACATATAGCTCAAGGTCCTCCTCTGATGTGTTAAACACAGCTTTTAAGATGGAAAGAGCAGCCGTTTGTCGACCCTCCCTTCAGAAGTCTTTGAATATTTCCTGTTGATCAAATAATTGGAACAATTTGGTGACCTGGGAGGACAAGGCAGCGATTGGCCCGGAGCTTTGGGAGGTGACAGAAACCAGTGATCAGCTTAGCTGTTACATCTCAATGTGAGATAAAACAGTGGTGTTTATGACACATATGAGGGAGATTGAGAGAGAAAGGGAGTAAAGAAAGAGAATTGGACCACAGATATACCATTTAATTTGGTAAAATGTGATAAAGTGAACAGTAGAATCAGTCCAAAAACTTTCCTTTTTAATCAAAACATGAATAATTTCAAACAAAACTAATCACTGAACTGAAGGTACAGTAGTCTGTTTAATTGAGTGTGGAAGGAGTTTTTTCCAGTGTGTTGGAACAGATCATTATTCACTCAGCAAGGTTATTATTCATATCAATACATCATTACACACTCAACACTCTCTGGCTCATTGTGCAAGGCAAAGACTTTTTAGATATACATAATGCTTTCATAAAAGATAAAGGCAAAACAAAAACCAAGACAAAGATTTCTGTCACATCCAATTAGAAAAGATATTTCTCATATTATTCTAATGAATCTTACCCGTAATGACTAACATCATTCTGCAATGCAAACACATTGATCAGAAGCCAGATACACAGCTTCTACAAACCTCTTGACGCCAGGCTTAGAACTGCCCACAGATGGAAGGGCTCTAAGCAAACTAAAGTGATATGCATTAAAGCAAATAAAATATTTTGTCATTTACCCATGCAAATGACTGAAGTCCATTTTTTCTCTCTCTTGGTGTGAGAGCATGAGCTGATATTATTCAGGTGCAAGTTTGTCCTCTCTGCCTCGGACAAAACTGACTTCCTCCAAATCGCACATGCTGCTGAGAGAGCCATGCTACACTAGGCTGACTAACCAAACTCATCACGCAGGCACGATTTACCCATCAGGAACTCCACCTCTGTTAGTCATCCTTGCAAGTGCAACTTCATTCTTGCAGTAAGGTCACTTGTAATAGGCAGCCAGAGGAAATGAGCAGGTTCTTTGATTGAGCATTTTTAAGGTTTTCTTATTTCCTCTTGTTGCTGAGGTCTGCCCATTAAAACACGCTCTATAAATAGACTTAAATGAAAAATTTTCCTCTGAACGTTGTGAGAGAGAGAAAGCAGAAACTGAGATGGAAGAAAAATTAAGCACGTTAGAATAAGAGGCCGCGGCTCCCTAAATTACTCATCAGTAACGTGACCCACGGCTGCCAGTTGTGAAGGTGATCAGCTCCATATGCGGAGACTCTTAGCACACAAATGCTTATGACTGTTATTATAAGGCCAGTCAAAAGTGGATGGCTTAATCTGTGCAGAGCTCAAAGCGCCGAGACAAAATTAATTCTTCAAAGACGGTTCATCCGTTGGCAGATGAAAAAATCAAATGTACATCACCGCCACTCATGACTGTGTGATGACAGTAACTGCTCATGTGTACGCTTACTCTCACGACAGAGGCATTAGATGAAGACAATGAAGAAAATCTTTTCTTTTATACAAATACACAAAGATGATCTACAAGCACATGTTAAACAGATGCCGTGGGTGCCAATGGGTCAAGGGGTGTGCCTGGTTAGGAAGGCCCAATTAGCCCCCTCTGGTTGATTTCTACACCATTCGGCTGCCAAAATGCACAATTTCTTTCTTTATAACAAATAAGCTGTACAGTTTTATATTTGAATTAGTTGTGTATACACACACACACACACACCTATTCAAATTTGGGATTGGCAAGATTTTTAAGTTTATTATTAAGCTCACCGATGCTGCATTTATTTGATCAAAAATACAGTAAAAACAGACTTTTTATAATATAATGTTACAATTAAAAATAAGTTGAATATATATTTAAATGCCATTTATTACTGTGCTGGCAAAGCTGAATTTTCAGAGGTCATTACTCCAGTCTTCAGTGTCATACGATCCTTCAGAAATAATTCTAATAGGCTGATTTGGTGCAAGGTAACATTTCTTTTTATTATCTACTGAATGTTGAAAACAGAGGCACTGCTTAATATTTTTGTGGAAACCATGATACATTTTTACAGGATTCTTTGATGAATAGAAATAAAGCATTTATTTGAAATACAAATGTTTTATAACATTTCCTGTCAATTTTGATAAATTTAGTGCATCCTTATGATGTATGTGCGTGTGTATAATTTGCAGGTCTTTAACTTATGGGGGTCCACCTGTGCCAGCCAAGTAATGGCCATTCAGATTAATGGGAAAGCGATAGATTTCTCGTGATATTATAGATCTCCTTGGTGCATAGTACCAACATATTAAGCTTTTTCGAACACACTCTCTGACATCATAACATAACTTTTTCAAACGTCATTACAATAAGAGTCTGAGGTTCAGATCATTTCAGCAGAACCTAAGCTCTAGCCATCAAGGCAGACCTGAAAAAACAAACACAAAGACTCGGGCAGAGACAGAGCGAGTGTTTGACACAAAGTCACTTAAACTGGCGTGAAAACATAAACAACGATACACACTCTCTTCAACACGCCGCTCAAATGAACATAAATTACAAAGAACCAAATGGCTGTGTTTGCTGTAGATTTGGCAGGGAGAAAGTTGGGGAGGAAAGGACAGCAAAAAGAACAACAGCGAGGTCATTAAAACACAATTAGCCACAATTATCACAGCTGATTTATGCCACCTGCGAGTATACCAGCAGGAAGAAGATACGTGTTAAACAGGGCAACATGGTTATTAAACTTCCAATTATAAATGCACACACACAAACACAGTGAGACTCAAAACAAACACTGAGTCTGTGATGTTTCACTCCCTTTATATATTCTGACTGTTATACTGACCCTTCAATGACCTGCTCAGTA